CACACACACACACACACGTCCATATACATTATTCTTTTTCAGGGTTAGCAATATCATGCCAAATGCAGACAAAGAGCAAGAAGAGTATTTAATATTAAAGTAAATTAAGTATTTTAATAAAATATTAAACTTAATAAATGCAATAAAAGACATTAAATCCAGGAGAAAAGAAAAAAGGAATAGACATTTAACTATAGTTTACACCAATACCTTTCTCTATACTTTTTTAACCTTTTCAAATATCTTCACTTCTACCCATACACCACTTCATAAATTGCCTTTTATTCTCTAAATTTTTCATCTCTCTCCCTTTGAAAATTTCATCAACTTCATTCAATGATTACTTTCTTGGTCTTGCCTTTCCTCTCAAACCACAGACCTTTTATATACTGTGCTTGAGAAATCCATTCTCTCCATATGACCAAATCATATAGACATCATACTGGTTATTATTTTTGTATTCATTCATCACCCATTCATTTTTTACCTTATTTCTTTTTGTTTTACCAAATATGCCTCTTGAGTACAGATAGTCCCCAGGTTAAGAACGCCCATGTTACAGACAACCCATCGTTAAGAACGGAGCCTACTGTAGCAAAATTTGAGTTAAATACACAATGAATTGAGTTAAATACACAATGATTTGAGTTAAATATACAATGATTTGAGTTCATTATACAATACTACTTATGCAGTATTATACATAATACTGTTCCAGCTTACGTACAATTTCAACTTAAGGACAGACCTTGGGAACGCAACTCGTTCTTAAAGTAGGAACTACCTGTATTCCATTCCTATTGCATCAGCTTGCTTTATGTAATTCATGCAATATACAACTCTTACTTCAATGTATTAAAGTAGGTGGGAGTAAACTCTAGTACACAACAATTTTTACTTTTAACATTCATTCCTTGCATCAGACCACATCCTATACACAATGTTTCTATTTTGGTTTACATATCTTAAAATGTCTTCATCTATTTCCCCACCATTTGGAAACATTATACATAAGAAACATAAATTCATCAACCTGCTCTAATTTTTCACCATTTTTGTATAATTTGCAATCATTCACTTCATTTTCCCTATCAAACAGAACCATCTTGGTTTCTGATATATTAATTTTCAGATCCATGCTGCTTGTTGCATCACACAACCTATTTAACCTTCATTATAATTCATTCAGGTTCTCAGCCAACAATACAGCATTGCCTGCATACAAAAGTACACCCATGTTCACATCTCTGACTTCTAATGTCATTACAAGCATTCCTTCTACATTTATTCATAAATCTATAAAGCAAGCAAGGAGATATCACACATCATTGTTTTATGCCCTTCCTAAACCACTCATTGCTTTACTTCTTCCATACAAAAACCCAAAATCGAAATCAAATGTGTTCAAGGCCAAGTTCTGAACATACATATATATAGAGGCTGAACAACTATAGTAGCATAGTTCACACATTACATTAAGCCAAAAGCATT